TCGGGTGAAATAATTGATTACTTTATATTGTGATTGTTAACACAGAAAAGTGACTCTTTAGCGTCGATTTGAACTGATTTTAAATGCGGAAAATCTATGGGAAAAGTCGACCTCTCCGCACGACTTCATTATCTATAAATATTAACAACAACTTAAATGTAAAATCACATAAATTAAGTAAATCATTGAATAAAAATCCAAATTCATTAAAATTAATTTTTTATTAGAAATTCAAACAATTTAAAAGTTAATACATTAAAAAATCAAACTTATTAAACGTAAAGACAGTTGTAGACAAGTATGGATCAGTTGTTTTTGATGGGCCAATAGGCGAGCCAAAGGGTCCGGAGGCACATCAATCGCTCGTTTTCAGCCCTCAAGGCCTCCAGAGGACAGGNAGTACCGACGGGTCGTCCACTTTGGGGAACGTGTTGTGCAAACCGGCCTTCAATTGTCGCTTATAGTCGTCTTCATTCCAGGCCCTCATCGGTGCGCAAACAACACACTCTAATTCTTCGAGAGCAGAAGAGGTCACTATCTTGTTGTAGTGGTTGAGTGTACTCTGGAAAGCCATGTCATCCAATTCCCGTGAATCTGATGTTTGATCCGATTTTGCTTCTAATCCGTTATCAGAGACCTCAACAATGGCTTCTCGGCTCTCATTTTCTGTCATTTCCAACAGCGGAGCCATCAATGAAGACATATCTTCAGTCATATTTGTGGATCAGATTATGTGACAATTAAAATGATTGGCAGAAAACACACTTTCTTTCACACAATTCAACGATTTTTTAAAAACTTCAATAAGAGATGTGTTTTACAGTCGTTTTCAATGCACTGTAAGTTATGAACGCAAATGAATTATACAAGCATTTAATTCACACATTAATCTCCGTTTAGTTTACATTGAATTGTTAATTTTTTCAAATTGTCTCAACATTTCTGTTAACTATTTTTGTTAATTAAACATGTTATTTAATTGCTTGTTTATTAATAAAATAATTTATAAATGTTTCGCATTTAATTCATTTATAACTTGATAAATGTTAATTAAAACCTTTGTGTAAATTTAGTAAAACACAGCGATTAAAGCAAAACAAGTAAAACATTGATTCAAACTTTATTTTACATAAAAACTGACTGAAATTCTTGAAATTTAAACATTGCATTTGAAGACGACTTTTGCCGACAATTGTAGACAACGTTTGGATCAGTTGTCTTTGACGGGGACGCCATACGCCAGAAATTGGTACTCAAGGCTAATAATGCGGTCGCTTTCGGCCCTCACATCTTCGAGACGACAGGCGCGGAGTGTGTCCAACAGATCAAACCGTTTGTGACCGCAATGTTTGCCCCGACAGTCACGGCAAGGCGTGGGACGAGTTCCCGGTTGTTCGCAGTATTGCTCCAATTGGCGGCTATATCTGACCAACATTGCCACATAACGGCGCCAACCTTTGGCCGTATGCAAGCACTCGAACTCTCCCTCAAACGGTGCCAAATGAAAGCACGGGAAGAATGTGGGCGTTCCGGCCTTCAGATCGCGTTTATAGCGCTCGACATCCCATACGGACCCGTCACTGACCGGCGGTGACTCTCGATGAGCTCTTTTCAGTATTATAGGCAACCGGTGGTGAATCAAGTAATCGTAGTCAGGTGTCGGTGGGCTAGGCATAGGGTTTGCGTACTGATACATAATCCAACTCTGCATTGTTTGAAAAACTTGCATCATTTCCTTCTTGAGAAACTGTGGATCACACGCGAGAAACGTGTCATACAAGTCAATGTCTTTGTGGTCGTCGGTCTTTTCTAAATAGCGCTGGAATTCATCGAAATATCCATAGAGTACTCGTATATACCGTCGGCGACCACTGTTTGTATGTAAACCAAGTGTTGTGTCCTCAATGGGCTCCGGGCCGTTCGCGTTGGGGAACGTGTTGTGCAAACCGGCCTTCAATTGTCGCTCATAGTCATCCACATTCCAGGGCCGAGTGGGCGCGCAGACCATACACTCCATGTCGTCAACGCTTTCGCTGTCCAGTATATTCTTGAGAGTGTTTCCCACGACTTGTTCGATCATTTGGCCGAATGTGTGGCCCGGATAACTGATCTCGATCCCATTGGAGTCATTTCTGACCACTTGTGGTAACTTTTCAATTGATTCTCTGCCTTCCATACACGCAATGATTTGTGTTGTCTTTTTTGAGATCAGCTAATGGTGACCACAAAACCGTTGCCAACCCTTTCACTCAATTGCTTTCTTATACATTAAAACTTTAAAATTAAATTTCAGTTAAACAATGCAGTGGTGTATAGTGTCGGGTGAAATAATAGATTACTTTATATTGTGATTGTTAACACAGAAAAGTGACTCTTTAGCGTCGATTTGAACTGATTTTAATTGCGGGAAATCTATGGGAAACGTCGATCAATCCACACGACTTCATTATCGATAAATATTAACCACAACTTAAATGTAAAATCACATAAATTAAGTAAATCATTGAATAAAAATCCAAATTCATTAAAATTAATTTTTTATTAGAAATTCAAACAATTTAAAAGTTAATACATTAAAAAATCAAACTTATTAAACGTAAAGACAGTTGTAGACAAGTATGGATCAGTTGTTTTTGATGGGCCAATAGGCGAGCCAAAGGGTCCGGAGGCACATCAATCGCTCGTTTTCAGCCCTCAAGGCCTCCAGAGGACAGGCCCGCAGTGCGTCCAACAGATGAAACTGGTTGTGACCGCACAGACGTTTGCCACGACATCGGCGACAAAACTTGGGTCGAGTGCCGGGTTGTTCACAGTATTGCCACAATTGGTCGCTATATCGCGATAACATTGCGATATAACGGCGCCAGCCTTTGGCCGTATTCAGTGACTGAAACTCGCCCTCAAAGGGTCCCAAATGAATGCACGGGAAGTGTGTCGGCGTTCCGGACTTTAGATCACGTTTATAGCGCTCGGTGTCCCAAATGGATCCATCGGTGGCCGACATCATTGATTCTTTGTTAGCCCTCTCCAGAATTTTGGGCAATCGGTACTCAAGAAGATGTTCAATATCAGGCATTTCATTGGTCAAAAGGTTAGACACAGCATTTTTGTGTTGATACTGAACCCATTGCATCATCACACGATGTACGCCTTGCTTTTCGTCCTCCAGAAACTGTTGATCACATCCGAGTAATATCTCATACAATGGCACCTCTTTGTAGTCAACATTCTTCGCAGTAAAGCTTAAGATTTGATTGAAATATCCGAAGAGCACTCGTATATATCGGTTCCGACCGCTGTTTGTGTGCAAACCGAGTGTTGTGTCCGTCAGTACCGACGGGTCGTCCACTTTAGGGAACGTGTTGTGCAAACCGGCCTTCAATTGTCGCTTATAGTGGTCTTCATTCCAGACCCGTGTGGGCGCGCATACCATACACTCGTCGTCTTCTAAGCGCTCACTTTGTGTAATACTTTTCATTGTATTTTCCAATCCTTCGGCAATTTGAGCAAAAGAGAGATCCGAACCAATGATCTCCAGTTTCACGCCTTTACTGCTCATTACATTCCTCAGAGTCTTTTCGATTCCTTCAGCCATTTGAGCAAAAGTCAGACCCGAAAGACTGTCGGACTGTTGGCCGCCTTTGTTGCCCATTATATTCTTCAAAGTCTTTCCAAATTCTTCGCTCAATTGAGCGCAACTGAAATCCAGAGGACTATTGGACTGTTCATTGCCTGTGATTGTCAACGATTTATCCATCAAATCCTTGAGAGTCTTTCCCGCTTTTCCTACCATTTGATCAAATGTGAGGTCCGGATGGCCGGTGTGTGTCATCTTAAGAGGAAAATTTGACGCCACTTTAGGTGACTTTTTAATCGCTCCCTCGCCGTCCATATCACACGGTCTTCGTGTCCACCGTTTCAATCAATTAATGATTTGTTTCTATTTCTTGAGATCAGTTACAGTGATAATGTGGACAGAAATGGGTTGCAAAAGCCTTTCACACAATCACTTTGTAATGCATTGAAAGTGCTTTGGGTTACAGTTCAGTACACAATACACTAGTACTGTATTGAATGGCAACACCAGTAACTTTACATTACTTGTTGGCAGTGTTTTCCTGCATTACACCCGCATTACAATACAGTACGGCCCCGGTTTTGGCACACGCGATTTTAGCAGAATTCGATTTTAGCATAAGGTTTTGTTAGCACCAGTGAGTCATATTAGCACTGTTAATGAACCCGATTTTAGCAGAATCCAATTTTATACAGTACGGCCCCGGTTTTGGCACACGCGATTTTAGCAGAATTCGATTTTAGCATAAGGTTTTGTTAGCACCAGTGAGTCATATTAGCACTGTTAATGAACCCGATTTTAGCAGAATCCAATTTTGGCACATCTTTTTGACAGCACCAATGACATGCCAAATTCGGGGCCGGACTGTATATGGAAATACTTTTAAAAATGATTTAAAAGTTAAGTGCATTTTTAAATAAAATTGAATATACAATTAGCCCTCGGTTTTGATACAGGCGATTTAACAGACTTTGAGTTGAACATAAGTTTCTGTTAACCCGGGTCATCCCTATGCATATTGTATTGTTAATGTGTTTAATTTTAACACTCAATTATGTATGTTTGTGTAGCAAAAACAATGCTTCAATTTTAGCACTTTGAACACTAAATGAACTTTGTTTTTCATAATAAAAATTGTTATTTTATATTATTTAATATGAAAATTGCATAAGGTTTTGTTAGCACCAGTGAGTCATATTAGCACTGTTAATGAACCCGATTTTAGCAGAATCCAATTTTGGCACATCTTTTTGACAGCACCAATGACATGCCAAATTCGGGGCCGGACTGTACATGTAAATTTACATACAATTTATTATAGAATATGTTGAAAGTGAATATTAAATAAGAGTATTTAAATAGATATAAAATTTACATTATATCGTGTCATAAATTTATTATTCAAAACATAGAATTAAATTAATTATAAGACATACAAAACAATTAACAATATGTTGTGCTATCGTTATAGAATGGTATTTCACCCACTGATAGATCATAACTATTACTGTTTAAAGTCTTTTCTTCGTCTGTCTGTGGATCAGTTTGGGTGATGTCATCAATGGTTTGCATTTCGGGAACTTTCTCTTCAGTATCAATAGTTTGTAAACATTTATCGCTTAAAGTTATACTCGACTGACAGAAAGCATCACTAAATTGTTTAACTATTTCATTGAACTCCCATTGAGTGCTGTTTTCCATAGATTTAGTTTCAATAGTTTGCGTGTATTTTGTGGCAAAATGTTTAGCATTTTTGGACTCTTTTTGGCTCTCTTTTGAGACAATTGTTAGTCGTTTTGTAGCATTTAATAGAGATTTCATTTCAATTATCATATTATTTAAAGTTTGTAAACCATTATCGATAGGAACCGACTCTTGAGCGTCGGTTTGAACTGATTTTGATTGCGGAAAATCCATGGGAGACGTCGACCTCTCCACACGACTACTGCCGCGACTGTTATTTACATTTTGTTGAATCACTTCATTATCAATAAAAATCTCATTTGTTTGCGTGAATTGTCTATTAATAAATCTCTCATTTGAATTCAAATCCAGTTGTTTTGGTTCGCATAATAAAAACGCCGGACTTTTCACATAATAAGGGCTGACATGCGATGCACTGGTGTTGGACTCAGTCCTGTCCGGCGGCCAATCGGTGCTACTGTTTGAAGTGCTTTGTGTCCCAAACGGTGATAATTTTGATAAATATTTTAAATAAATGCTTTGCATTTGTTGTACACTTTGTCTCTCAATCCTCTCTTTTGTCTGTTGTTTCTCTTTGACCACTAATTTCTCCAATTCTTCAATCATTTTGATCTCATTTATTAAAAAGTCTCGATTCAAACCATTTGTTGAACTCATCCTTAATTATTTCATCGGAAATATTCGTGAATTGAATTTGCGTTAAATTATTTGCTATGAATTTGAAATAAATATAAAGTTTATATCAATTAATTATATATAGGATTAAAATTCAAAAAATGCAATGTTTGGGGAATTTTGTGGGAAATACCAGAATCAATAAATTATTTCATTTAATTGCTTCATATTAAATAATATTGACAATAAAAATAACCACATTTCAAAAGTGGGAGTGAATGGAATACATCATTATTAAAACATTTAATTAACAAATCAACTCAATAAATACTTTAAAACTATTTAGTTTAATTGAACATGATAATCATTAACTAATAAATACAACACAAAGGGTTATATAAACCGGTCTTTCGGTGGACAGACAATAGACACATAAAACAGAAGTCAATGGATTAGAGCTCAAGAAAACACTACTGAAACACATCATTGACTCCAATATAAGTCAAACTTTCAATTTATGTATCGATTGGGGGTTAAGGAAAGGAGATAACAATTTTTTAAAAGTCATTTCACTTTTGCATACCTTTCCTCTCGGATTGAGAACCAGTTTTCTCTTTGAACCAAATGACAGGCTTTTGATTGTCTAACAAATGCTTTGGCACTGTTTCGCCGCCAATCAGTACAATGCCGACGCTTTCATATAAAACAATAGCCGGTATTGAATCTCTTGTGGCAATTGATCCGTAATATATCCAGAGCTCAACTTCGCGGTTACCGCTCATGGACTCGTACTCCAAGACTCTGAGCTTTGAATACTTGTTGAAATCGGTGTAAATACTGAACTCAACGTTTGCCAAACTGTTGGCCAATTGATACCAACTGATGAGCTCGTCGTTATCGTTGTCGTCGGAGCTGAAAAATACAGCAATTTTTGCCTTTTCAGACATTATAATTGATATTTCAATATAACTCTTGTATTGGATGAAAGAGCAGATGGTTGTCAGCGACTCTTTGTGTGGATTTGTTTTGGCAAAAACTCTCCTCTAATTAGTTGCTAAGAAACTCTGTTTATGTTTTATTTAGCGATTCTCTACACAATTGATTCAAACAATACACACATTGTTTAATGCATATTACAAATTGTATGTATCATGAAATCACATCGTGTGGGTTAAGTGATCGACATTTTAGGCTTTAATATTGAATTAATGTAATTAAGTGACTCATATTTACTATATATTTATGGTTTTAGAAATTTTGATATTAATAATATCAGATAATAGATAGTTCATAATTCCCTATAATTTAAAAGTGATAATTTATTTACCTTATTAATAAGTTTTAACTTAAAACAAATAAAAAAATATAAATAAAATTAATTTACATATTTATTAAATCAAATACAATTTAATGACAAATAAATGAATTATTATTTCTATTAAATTATTAAATCTATTATTTATAATTTAATTTTTCAAACGTATAATATAAAATATTTATTTACATAAAATCAAAAATATAATTATTAGGTTTTTATAAAAATAAAGTTTATTTTAAAAAATATTTAAAATCAAATATAATTTTTAATTTATATTCGATTACCAAGGTCCCTATACTATCATTTATCATGTAGAGACATTTACCTTTTAATATTTTACCATTGATTGCTATTTTAAAACATTATTTCACAACCAAAGTCAGTAAAAGGATTATACAAATAGATTATAATTAATCGTAATTTTATTTTTTGGTAACAATTTTTGTTAACTATAATTATAATTATAATCTTAACGATAAGTATAAAAACAATATTTCAGTCAATTTGTGTAATAATTTTTTTGAATTTCCCAATTATTCATTAAAAGATATGCATTTATATTAATCACATTAGACATAAATAATTACCACATTTAGTATAACTAAATCGTAACTATTATTTGATAAATACTTTCAATTTTAAAATATAATTTTGAAGATAAACGCAAGAAATAATTAATTATCATCAAAAAGTGTTGTCAATCAACCATTTAATTGAATTACAGTTTTGTAAAAATTACACGATTCGGTGCCAAAGCCATTGATTATCGACACATTATTAGGGCTGAGGACAGTAAACGCATTTCGCTCACTATATTGAGGCCAATCCACGTCCAGTTGTGGCAAAACTTGACTAAAATTGTTTTAAAAAAACACATTTCAAAAAATGTATTAAAAAACAATTACAATATCAGGAAATCCAATATAAAAATACCCGGTTTTGGCGAAATGAGACCACGTTTTCATAATCCGTTTGGAGAACTCTATATCTAATTTACTGAAGATATCGGTTCTTCGGAGGGGATAACCAAAAACAAAGGGCACTTCCGTGTAGTGAACGGTTCCCAACCACTCACCGAATTGACTAGACTTTGGTCTGTGATTATATAAATACATGTAAACCGTCTTATTTCTGGCCACCAATTCGTCGGCTAAATAAATGGTCGGACAGTTCATTATGGCGTTACCGAAGGCCTCTATCAGACGCTCGATATTCTTCTCCGAAGAGTCATTTTGAGGACCATTTATGTAGTTTTTGGCCACAAATGTCAGCATATCTTCTTTGATATCTGTCTTATTCTTGATTAGATTTATGAACATTTCTCGCGTCTCTTTCAATGTCCGCAACTCTGGATAACTGTTTAGTTTAAAGAGGTTTGGATTCAAGATATACACAAAGAATGAGCCCTCGTTTCGGACCAAACCGGTCATCAGTTCCTTCATATTTGAATAGGCGTTGTCTTCCAGAATGTACTCAACCGGGGATTCAATGTCTTCAAAATATGAATCGATTGATGGCATGAATGCCATCAGAGATGTGTCGAGGAATGAGTTTGAGGCCTAAAATATACACAAATTTTCCAAATAATAACAAATTATAAATCACTCAAAATTTTGTAATAACAACTACTTGTAAACTCAGAATAAAAACTTGTAAATAAAATAAATGATTTATGAATTTGTTTGTCTGCAAAAGAAAGTAAACTAAAAATATAATAAATCATTGAATACTTCGAGCAATTTGTCAAATGTTGTCGCTTTAAGATAATGTCTTCAAAATATGAATCGATTGATGGCATGAATGCCATCAGAGATGTGTCGAGGAATGAGTTTGAGGCCTAAAATATACACAAATTTTCCAAATAATAACAAATTATAAATCACTCAAAATTTCAGAATAAAAACTTGTAAATAAAATAAATGATTTATGAATTTGTTTGTCTGCAAAAGAAAGTAAACTAAAAATATAATAAATCATTGAATACTTCGAGCAATTTGTCAAATGTTGTCGCTTTAAGACAGTCAACGGAATCAATAGAAAATGTGTTGATATAGTCGTCCTCTTCTTCTTCGTCTAAACAGCCGACAAGTTTTGCAAATTTCTTGGAGTTTTCAAATGTCTGTGAGGTTTGCGGTAAGAAAAAGCTTCCGCTTTGGGTAATGGCCCGCGAGAACAGACCCTTTGTCTTATTGAACGTCATTAATAATGGTTATGAATATCGCGGGCGTGAGAGCGGTTTGCCGTGGTCAAACAACCCTAGCGGCGGCTTTCGGTACTATAACAGAAACTAGGTTAAGTTACGGTAACTGACCAGTATATATGGGTATAAAGGCGGAGCCTCCTCTGTCCGGGTGTTTAAAAATCCAAACACTCCCACTCTATACATGTATACACATTGAAATCTAGATAAAAGTCAATCAAAACATGTCAAATAATACCTGTAATTGATGGTAACGACCACAACATCGCCATAATTAGCCAAAACGCGTCCGTCTTTCTCATGAATATTAGCCGAGTTGTATAGAAAGCCTCCGCCGTGTATCCAAACCATAACTGTCCTCAACTTCTTGGGCCGTATTTCAGGCGTCCATATATTAAGACTCAGACAGTCTTCTGATATGTTTTCGCTGATATAATTCATGTCCACAAGTGTTTTGGGAATAATCACTTGCGGACACATTGGCGTGAATTGTGTGGCCGAACGCACTCCTGGCCATCGTTTCACGGGCTGTGGCGACGAGAACCTGAGTTCACCCAACGGTGGACTGGCGTACGGAACGCCGACGAACGCGTAGACCGTCCGTCCGAACACATCCAACGCCCGGCCACTCAGTTGTCCACTCCTTGTCCTAACAGTCACTTCATTATCACTTTCATTCTTCGCTGATTTTGACACAATCTTATCACTCGTTTGCGAATTGAGTTTCAATTTTGTGGGAATTTTGTTGAAATCATTTTTTGAGTTATTATAAATCACGACAAATGCTGCGATGGATATAAATATGGCTAATAATACATAACATATCCTATTATTCATTATTAATTTTGTTGATAATTGAGAATCACGTTTACAATCAAGACATTAGAGAATACAAAAGTGTTTGAAAAAGTTTGTTTAAAAACTTTTTTGGCATTTGTTTTTATCTGTTAACAAACACAACTAAACTTTTCCATCGCTGTTAAAAAACAAATGATGTGATTTTGAAACGCCTTTATAAAGTTTCCATTCATTGTTTTTCTCATTGATTTATAAATAATATTATTTAAATTAATTATTTATTCAATTTTACGAACACTTTTGTAGATTATATAAAATGCAAATAAAGATATTTAAATCTCCTTAAAATAGATAATAATAAAACTTTTTCAAATTACATATATTTAAATTTTTTATTTCGCAAATAATCACTAGTTTTAACGCAAAACTATACACTAATCTGAAAAATACGGTTTTGAAGAAAATTATAAAACTGTTTATGAATTCAAAGTCATATTAAATAAAAAACAAATATAAAAATATTTGTCTCAGTTTTTGCTGCTTTTTTGGAAAGTTTTGTGAAGAGAAAACATAAATTAATTTCACTTTTAGCACACATTTTTGAGGGGACAGTAATTATTGCCCACTTTTTCTCTCTTACGTATGCCTTTCATCTGTCCATTCATTTGAGTTTTATTTTTAGATTTATGCCAAACCGATGGCTGAAACTCAGGTAATGGAGAGATGGATAAGTCAGTCATCAGAAATATATGTTATAATGTAATTGATTTTTATCGAGGAGTTCTTCATAACTAGTTTTGTTCAAAAATTAGCTATTTTTAGAAACAAAACTAATTATTCAATTGCCTTTTAAAAGTATATAATACGCTATAAACTGATCATATTTTCAATCTGTAAAATCGCAGGTAAGGCAGAAGAAGAGGGTTTTGTGGGCTTTTTTTATTTGTTTGCAAATACAGTGCCTAACCCTCTGGCTATTCCTTGCATTTTCTAATGGACTTAACATCTTATGAAATGAACTGAATTTGGTTTTGAAACACACTTTTCAAATGAAATCCACATTTAAATTCAATAGTTTTTTGTTTTGTGTACTAAAAGTGGGTTTAAATAATTGAAAGTGAAAGCAATTGAAAAGTACTTTTTTGGCTTTTAGTACATTATAGGAATTTGATTATATTATAGATAATAATCTAGATAATCCCGAATATTTAGTGCTTTTATTTGGAGGCCATCCAAACCATGTGTTACATTAATGTTTGTTTTATTTTCAAAAAAAATATTTTTGTATTTAAAATTGAATAACATTTATATGAAATTCTTTTGATTTTTAAAATTGTTTCTTATTTTAAACATTTTCATTGAATTTTATTAGTTTTTATTAATCGCATAATTAATACATTAAATGATAAAATGTATAAAAACGAGGAATAATTAATGAATACAAAATCAATGTTCAAGAAATGCTACATTTTGTTCACAACTTCATGAAAGTTATAAAGTCTTTACGTGTTTCCCTCTGGAGAAACAATTTTCAAATCTTATATAATATTGATTTAGAAGTAATTTATTATTTTTAAGTCATATTTTATATTATAAGACGATTCTTGGAAGAGATTATATAAACACAAACAGCATTTAATTTGCAATTAGATTAATTTAATATGAGAAGCAAGTAACTAAAATAAATTGACAATTATAAAAGCAATTTATAAAATTAAATTTATAAAATTGACAATTAATTATAATTTATAAATAAAACAATTAAAATAAATAGAATTACAAAGAGCAAAACTAAAAAGTTGTAAAAGTTGTAGATACTGTAAAATGCATACCACTTGTAGTCCCAAAAGTGCGAGAATCACAAAAATACTGTAAAAATATCTATTTATTGAATGGTTTGAAGAATCGTTGGATTGTGTGAAGTCTTCAGCTAATGTTTAGTCCACTAATTATTAAATCGCATGAACTGATCCACAAATACCACATATACATGTAGTATGGGTTTAGTGCTGTCAGTGCTGTCACGGCTGATGACTCGTGTGATGAAACTGATGTGGCGGTGGAGTGGACGCGAAGATGAGACAAGTGTTAAGCTATTGATGCCATTAAGTGATGATGAATACCGGGAATTGAAGCCATCGTTTATGAAATATCTCGCCGGAAGTTTCATGAGATCAATAGTAGATAGCGAAGCCATTGAGGACAAGGAGTGTATGGTATGCGCGCCCACACGGGTCTGGAATATTGACGACTATAAGCGACAATTGAAGGCCGGTTTGCACAACACGTTTCCCACGTCCGCCGACCCGACCGTCCTCTCAGACCGACGGCACGGTTTGCACACAAACAGCGGTCGGCGACGATATATACGAGTGCTCTTTGGCTATACCGTACAAATGCATCTCTACTGTAAATCTCCGTCAGAGTTGGACACTAAGTCTGTGCTCTACAACACTCTTCGCAAATGTAATGTCCGGTTTGTGAAGAAGGAAGCGATGCGTTTGGATTGGCAGCTCATGGGTTGGCTTCTGTATCAACACAAACACCCGGAGCCCAACGCCCGCCAACAAAGAGAGCCGAACATCGCTCACCTCATTGAGCATCGATTGCCCAAAATAATGGACAGAGCGTACAAAGAGTCGCCCCTTACCAATACTTATAGCGCCCGCACTCTCGCCAAACGGCACCAGTTTGTTGGGATCGCCGCCGAAAGCCATGATATTGTCTTTGATCCAATTCAATGCCATTGACTGGTCATATATACCCATATTTCCGGGCGCCTCCTCTGTCCGGGTGTTTAAAAATCCAAACACTCCCACTCTATACACGTATACACATTGAAATCTAGATAAAAGTCAATCAAAACATTTCAAATAATACCTGTAATTGATGGTAACGACCACAACATCGCCATAATTAGCCAAAACGCGTCCGTCTTTCTCATGAATATTAGCCGAGTTGTACAGAAAGCCTCCGCCGTGTATCCAAACCATAACTGTCCTCAACTTCTTGGGCCGTATTTCAGGCGTCCATATATTAAGACTCAGACAGTCTTCCGATATGTTTTCGCTGATATAATTCATGTCCACAAGTGTTTTGGGAATAATCACTTGCGGACACATTGGCGTGAATTGTGTGGCCGATCGCACTCCTGGCCATCGTTTCACGGGCTGTGGCGACGAAAACCTGAGTTCACCCAACGGTGGACTGGCGTACGGAACGCCGACGAACGCGTAGACCGTCTGTCCGAACACATCCAACGCCCGGCCACTCAGTTGTCCACTCCTTGTCCTAACAGTCACTTCATTATCACTTTCATTCTTCGCTAATTTTGACACAATCTTATCACTCGTTTGCGAATTGAGTTTCAATTTTGTAGGAATTTTGTTGAAATCATTTTTTGAGTTATTATAAATCACGACAAATGCTGCGATAGATATAAATATGGCTAATAATACATAACATATCCTATTATTCATTATTATTTTTGTTGATAATTGAGAATCACGTTCACAATCAAGACATTAGAGAATACAAAAGTGTTTGAAAAAGTTTGTTTAAAAACTTTTTTGGCATTTGTTTTTATCTGTTAACAAACACAACTAAACTTTTCCATCGCTGTT